AAAAATATGTTCATTTTATTCAAAGTACATATTGGCAAGTTCAAATAAAAATGAACGTGATATAAAAAAAGTCCTGCACAGTTTTATCGGTAATCAACAAACTAAACTTTTTGGTAACAAAAGCTATTCAAACTTTTAAAAACCTAATATGCGAATGACCTTTAAAAGTTGGCCACATTTGCTACAATGTTGATCTAAGCACTAGGTACAGTGAACAAGCAGAATGAATAATCATACAAGACACTTAGAGTTATGTCCCCTACACATATTTCCAAACATGATATTTTTCGTTATTAAATTAATTCAAATAGATTATAAAAAGGCTAAAAGTAAAATTTCAAATCTTCATGTATGTAAATTCTATATCTGGTGGTTGATTTAAAATTTCATTTTTCCGACGACACTTGGCCCAAGATCGGAATATAAATATATTGGGAGATATACCATAAGTGTAGGAAAGATAACCCCGATAAATAACATAAATGTAAGCAAAGGGTAGATAAGGCATGTATCGCCTGACTGATTACTGAGATTGAATATCAGACACCAACACTTTTTTTAGAAAATATCATAAATCTCTCGGAAAGGTCTCTTTTGATAGGTTCATTCCTTGGTTATGCTAAATACATTATTTGTAGATATTAAATTATTCACTTTTGGCCCGTTTGTACACAAGAATTGCAGGATTGGAACTGAGCGTAACAGACGGAAATATGTGCACTGCAGTAACCCCCTCATACGACAAACAGGATGAAGACTGGGTCGACACGTGCATGTCGTGCGCGGCTGTTATGGTGAAACTATGTACTCTCTGTACAGCTGCTGCTGTAATAATGTGCTTTATATGTAAGTAATTATGATTTCATTTCATCATATTTTATTGAGTAAACAATATGATTGAACAGCAGGCTAGGCCTATATAAGTTCTCTCCTTAGGTTGACATGACAAAGACAAAGATGAATGAAATGGTTTGTAAGAAAATAATGATGCAAATTATATATAATAAGTAGCATAGACATAAACATATAGCAGACGATATAGGGGAGATAGTTCCATGTATGTTTCAATTCCATATAAATATTTAATTGATATTTTCACCTATACAATGCTCTTATTAAAAAGTCAATCATTATTAATTAGTAATAGGAAAGCAATGCCCTAATGATATATTAAACAGAGAATTGCTACAATTGTCAAAAAAAAAAATCCAAGTCATTAATGCCCCCTGTTCATACCTCACATGTAAGTAGTAGAACACTATGTACATTGTTTTCATACCAAAATCTTAGGCTACTCTCGGAGTCAGCCGACTGAGGTGCTGTGCTCTTCGCCTTACTTCGTTCTCTCCTTTATTTATCATTCCTTCAATACATTCATACATTTTCCTCAATAAATAAAAACAACAGAATACCGATTTGTGAATAAAACCGTAATCCGAATTCAGTATTGATCAACGAAAGTAAATACTAACAAAAGAAATAAATGAGCTTTCGAAACTACTGGAGTATTGAAGACGGTTTACCTTGGGAAGAAAAAAGAAACTGTGATTCTGGGCATAGCTCATCAAACGTCAAGTTCTCATTTACTGGAATAGAAATTTGTCCCATCCCAACTTCCAAACGAATGATTCCACAAAAATAAAACACCGACACAAAAGAGAATACCGAAGTATCAACAAAACCACAATTGGTCCTCAACATCGATTAAACTAGGGCAAAAAATGAACAAAGGAACAAATGTACATGGATACCCTTGAAAAGTATAATGAGAATAAAATCAGGTATTCCAGAATGGTAAGTGTCTTTGTCGACGACACCCACCATGTGACTCTAATAAATGACAACAAAATGATAAGGTATTCTTCTGAACAGAATCAAAAACATCGACCTTCGTGTCATATTAAGAAATAGCTTATTTCCGTGCAAAATCCTGAAGTCGACCATATATTACTACTAGGTGTTATCACCCTGCATCGTTGGTAAACCAGTGTTATATGTTTGTATGTCGGTAATAGAACTCATCACGGAGTTCGTGATATTCGTAGCAATGTCTTGAGTACCGAACCATTTGCTACATGTAAACACCGTAGGTAGAGGAAGCAAGGATGATACTATTAAGAAAGGGAAAGTCTACGATCCGAAAATTAAAATCGCCAAGCTTATCGTACAGCTTACTGTAAACTATAATATGAGGCTATTTATAGACTGCACATCGTCGATTATCTAAATGTGAAATTTAAGGACTTTGCTAGGTTATTGTTATCAGTCCTGATAAGCTCATAAATAAATTCAGCGTCATATGAAAATAGAAAATAATCGGCCAGAATAGGGGCAACATTGTTCCCATAGGACTACCTACAATCTGTAAGAATATCTTACCACCAAACAAATATGTTTTCAACCAGTCACTCACTCACTAACAATATCATTCTCAGTATTTTTCATTTTGGCCTTTCTCTGCACTTTTCACAAACTATGCTCCAAAAACATCACAACCATATATTATATCGCTGTTCGCCTTTCTTGAAAAGAAAGCTCTCCTAACAAGAGACATGATGCGCTCCTTCAGTTTGGTATCAGGCATGGAAGTCATAAGGGTCAACAACTCAAACGTTTCGATAAAGGAAATATTTGTGATAAGATCTTCATGATTGATCAAAAGATCTTTTGAATTCTTCAAAATTCACCGTCATCCTCTCGAGTTAGGGAGTGATCAAGCATTGCTCTCAGGGACCGACACCCAGAGTAGCAAAGGTTAATCTTCACTGCCTTAATTTGACAAATCAAGTCAACAACATCTTAGAGCGAGGGGCTTGTTGCTGATATTGATGATGAGATACTGAGGTAAACGGATGAAGTGTGAAGTTTAAATGAGTAGTAACGTGAAGTGGTTTATATAATACTGTCCAAATGTAAGAGTCCCTATTTCCGGCTGTACCCAAAGCCACGTATCAAACTCCAGAACTCAACCAACGCTATTGGCAATTTAATTGTATATTATTATTAATTTTGCAAATTAATCCAAAATTCGGTACACAATAGAATACATTTTCCTGTTTCTTCTTAGCAAGGGAATAAGTTAATGAGTTCTCGCTATCTAAAATAATACTGATACTAAACTAAGGAATAATAACAGGAACGAGACGGAGAAAGGATATAAGACCACGATACGGGGAAATGGGGAAATATTTAATTTCTCTATCTATTATTACACACAGTATATAAAGAACAAATCGTGATTCGACTTCGACAAAAACACAAAACAAAAGTTATTGTCGATAAAGTCTGGTACATACAACGAATGGCACAGCATGCACTTTGTGAAGCACTCGTTGTCACTCGTTATGTGTTTGTCAATTATAACGCTATTTACGACACCAATGATATAACAAGATAAAAACAAATATGATGAACTTAACATCACTTGCCACCCAGACTCTAGAAAAGGATATCCCCGCCAAGTCGTCCTCAAAGTATGGCGATTAGTAACAAAGATAACAACCTGGCTCAGGCGTTGGCCAGTATTACCATTTTAATGCTTCATGGATCATAATGGGTTGATTTGTACAGTTTTGCGGTCAACATCAATTCTGTAAACAATCCGATGACTTTACCTCTATGTAAACTTAATTATTCTGGCAGAGCACTACATACTATTTATTGAAGTAAATATTTGTAAATTTGTAACGTAATAAATGGTTTTATAGGAATCTCCTTTGCTGTGTTCGTACATGTTTCCAAGAACCATTGATATAGATTTTCATTCATTTGGCCGTAGTACCAGGAATGAGTCTTATATGGACGCAATGGTCAAATGATGCAGTAAAAATTAAATATGTTTAGTTTTGATTTTCGACAGCAACAAACTAAATTGTTAAGTCATATTTCGTATACCAAGTGATTATATCAACAAAAACCTAAAAGATCAAAATCTATTTTAGACCTCCCACCTTTCCCCTGGTTACCGGTAGTATGGTTATATAGAACAATAGATCATAGCGGTACAGAGCAAGGAACATTGGGAACTGAGGAAGCATCTAAAATCAAGGGAATACCGAATGGACAACAAAACCGAAGATAGAGCTCAAAATTGATAAAACTACGGCAAAATGTGAACAAAGGTTTCACGTAAACCTTGAAAAAGTACAAGAAGAATAAGACCATGTGTTCCGGAAGGGCAAGCGTCTTTTGCTACATCGACGACACCTGTCATGTAAATCTAGGTCAAATCCAGGTAATGTCACGTCTTCACATCGAGAACTAAAACAAAGACATCGGGAACTCCTACTAAAAACATATCAATACTCTTTTGTCAAAACTTATACTGCATGCGTTGTATATCAAATAATTTGTTAAATATGCATATTGAGATTTGTGATATTCAAGAATAGTTCGAGTGTAAGCTAACATCGCTATCTGTCAATACGCTAAAGTACAGACGTTCGTCGGGAGGGGTCCAGTGTCTGGACATACAATGGCATTCTTATAGGGATTAACTAATAACTCTACATATTGATAGGCTGATAAACACCTATATACATCTGTTCATGTTTTCGTTTTTTGTTTGTATTATCGCTTAAAACTGGCTTTGTATTTACCCACTATTTGTTGTTAACTATTGAGTAGGACAAATATTTCTTTTTATTCTGTTATCAATACTACATGCAGGGATGGACTGAGTGCACATTATCATCCGATATAACGTATTTAAGGTAATTATACAGACAAGTACCTGCCGTAATCAACATGTGTCAATACAGTACATGGACACGGGGACGCACCGTGATACTATCGACAAAGATAACTTATCATACCATCAATACTGCACTCGTAAGTCAACGTGCTTGTGTCGGTGTTAAAAGTTTTGTTATTTTAACAATAGACATTTTGTCTAACACTTAAACACGGTTTCATGTACTTGGATCATTACCTGGCTTAAAAGACAAATTTTGAAACGTCAAAATTATATCATTGTTTAAGTTCACTTCATTTCTTCCTGGAAGGACAGAGAAGAGAAAAATACCAAGTGAATATTAAGCTTAACAGTTGTCCCTGCCGGTCATGTTCCCATGTCTCCTTGCTTCAGTGGCTGATAGCGACGTTTAGCTACAGCAGATATTGAGTACCAATATTAATCTAAGATGACAAATTACCTGTAATAATTTGTCGTTCAATTAATTGATTTACCTGACTAAGGGGCACGCGGAGTACCGTTGCCTGGACATTCAGTGACCGGTGTAACTAGTGTACGTGTGTGTGGATACCGATAGCGTACAGCCACGACACAGTCAGGGATATGTGTGCCCCTAAGAGCCACTTAAAGACCTGACGGATATGCCTATATACGTATGTTATTGTCTGAACTACTACTATATAAATGTAGGATTCCCATCATATGTCTTCGTTTTTACAACTTTACTGTGACAACTTGGAACACTATTACTCAGACATCTGACAGAACATTGTCTCAACATGTTCATGTGGATAAATTGTATTTAGCATACGTTTGAAACTACTGAAGATGAAATATTTTGTTATATAAAACGTTCACTTGATGTGAATCAACGCTGAAATTGTGACAAAAACAACAGGCTACGTGCGGAAAAACATAAGATGATTGTGCGGTGTTACTGCCGAGAAGAGCCCTATGGTACTCTACCAGGTGAGTCGCTGATAGTGTGTGTTAGGAGTGTTAATAAGGCTATATCAAACTATCAATTTGATTACCTTAATTACATTTTAACGCAAGATTTCCAGAAATAAATGTGTAATGATACAAATGATTTCTGAAATGACCAGATTTTTTTCTTGTAATATCGTTTGTGCTCGGATTGATGATGATAGTTAATGCCTTCGTTGTCCTATTTGTCCTAATTTGATCTTTAAAGCGGCTTAAGAACGTTTTTTCTTATATGGGATTTTGGAAAAAGGAGTTAATGGCATAGTAAAAAATGCAAAAAAAACTATATGTCGGTGTATTCGTTTTTGTGTTTTGATCGGTCAAAGATACCAATTTAACACAACATGTGATTTTAGGTTATTTTTTGGGTTTTGACCATTTGCAGAACAAATTCATACAATTTCTTCCAGGTGTGTTATCAGATATGTACGAATGTTTGTAGAAATGATGAAAATATTATTTTCTTTTAAATTATGGTAGTAAAATTTCTTAATCCTATTCTTTTAACTCAGAAAGCGGATTTTAGTTACCCCTACCCCCTATTTTTTTTCATGAAAAAAATACTCATTTTTTACCTTTTTTTTTGCTATTAAACTTTTTTAATATTTAAAGAATTAAAAGAAAATGTGTTTCTCTTTCTAAAACATCCACAAAAATGGGAGGTCGGTGTGCTTCTTTTTTGTGTCCCATTATCGTTTGTGTTATTTTTTACCTTTTGGGGGGTTAAAATCAAAAGTGCTTCAGTTACACTAAATATGTAAAAACAAAAATTTCAATAATGTATCATTTTCCAGTTTGTTGCATATTATTTTTATAATATTAAACATTATAAAGTTGTACAGCAGAATTGAACCTGCTACAATTAAAAATGGCGACACAATGACAACTTAAGTGATCAATCTAGTGTCAAAAAAGGTGATTTTTTTGCCTTTTTCGAAGCCCAAGAAATACACATTAATACACATTTTAAAAATGGCCGCCGAATTGGTAATTTTTTTAAATTCTTGTAAAAAAAGTTCTACAAACAACAGACATTTAGTTTTTTGACATATTTTTCAGATGCGTGTTTGCTTATAAACTTGATCATAATTTGTTTAAATAACACAAAACCCCGTTACACCAGATCAAAACGAGAATTGAACGTGATTGAAACCTCAGAAGAGTACATTCTTAAACACCAAACGATAAATATGGTAGCCTTATCTTTTCTATGTTATTTCGGACGCAGTTTAATATCTTTCGACCTAACTGGAAAATGATCAATATATAGTTGTCACATTCTGGTTATTATGTTTGTATAAGCTTAAAAAAGCTGATACAATTTAGAGATAATTTGAAGTTTTATACATCACAATACATAGCGTACAAAATAAGAACTTGACAGGTGCACAGGCGGTATCGAATCGGGTGGAACTAGTTATCAGTAGGCACAATCTAACATCAATCTATTAGTTAGTTTACAATGCATGACAATCAACAAAATGATAATGTAAAAATGGAAATTTTCGCAGTTTGGAAATGTTCGTCTTTGTGCATGACAATATCCACAAGCGATTGTTTATTTATTGATGATGTAGATTATAGATAAAATGCATATGTAGATTTCAGAACTAATGCAAACACCGCGATAAGTATAAAAGGTCACAACGCGAAACTTTCCACGAGCGACACTTCGACACTTTCCACGAGCAGACACTTTCCACGAGCGACACTTTCCATAGTATACTGTACATGAAATGGTTAGGGTGACCAGTCCACTACTTACCCTAATAAATTGTGAAATTGATATGTGTCCGTGTAAATGTCTTGATACTAAAAACTACTAGAAATGCAAAATAACGAAGCAAGCACTCAAATTTCAAAGTAAACATCATATTTCACAATGTGGTCATTTCTTCCATACATTACTTATCAGTGATACTTAAGATAAAAGGGAAGATATCCAAGTCTGAAGTGTTTCGAAACATATTGAGAAATTCTGCAATAGGGAAATGTGCATAAAAAAGATGTTCCTTTAGAACTTTGCTTATGGCAAATACTTTATTTTTTAAACTAGTATTTCTTGTAAATCCTCCCAGTTTCAAGGTGACGGCTAACCTCCGGGACTGTTAGTCTTTCAGCAGAAACAACCACCTGGTTACGTCAAATATGTACTTGGATACGAAATAAAGAAGCACCAGCTCAAAAATGAATTTGTCGATGCAGGAAGCCAAACAAAACTGTTTACTGAACCATGTGAACAATTCGTTCACTTAGGGATCATCACTCGTACTCTGTTTACTGAACCATGTGAACAATTCGTTCACTTAGGGGTCATCACTCGTACTATATATTGAAAAATAGAAACAAAAAGGTCGAAAGGGGGTTAAACGCATACGATGTGCCATAGCCAAATTCTTCTTAGTTCTTCGTTTTCAAGGCCTGAAGTTTACTCTTTGAAAGTCTAGCATGATTTCAGCTAGCTGCAGGAAAGTCTATTTGATCATAAACGAGAGTGGATATTTCCAAAATTACATTACAGGGTTTTTCTTGAATGACGAGTCGGCTGTGTCATAGATCTTAGAATGGTATCATTTTTTTCTTATTTTTGTTTATTTCATAGGAGGGGGTGCTACATGTGGTGACGGGAGATTCTCAATGGGCACCACATGTGTTTTTAAGGGTCGTACAGTGTAAACGTTTGCATTTCCAGGCCACCCTGTTTTGAGATCAACTTTTCAGGGTCGTCCCAACATTGATATCAAACTAACCTTTTAGAAACTTCAAACATAATACAGGATTTTGCGATAAAAATCAGGCAAAACATATCACATGGAAGTTTAACCCTTAAAAGGGGTCTATCGTCTAAGAAGATGTTTAAGCTTTATATTAGGCGTGAAATTAGGAAAAAAGTTTCCTCGTGCATTTAAGATAACCTGATCATTTGTATGAACCAGTGTTGTTTTGCGTCTTGGTTTATTTCAGAGTAATGTTTTTTATCGCAATAGACCCGTTAAATCAACTCCCCGGACCCCCCATTAAACGACAGAAGTGTCAATGAGTGTTAAACAATCGGTTTATCAACACCTTCCGTGACTTTAATTGGTCTGGTTGGTGACCTGACAATTGGCGCCCTATTACTTCGTGCCCTTTATTTCAAACATTCATCCTGCAATAAAGTACTCTGATCGATACTCGCTTTTACAACCTGTTAGATTTACAAACGCTCAAAATTGATTTTATAAAACACCACCAATGCATCATTCTCTTGATATCACCATGTGTGAGGTCATATATTACTGTGGAACTACATGTATCAAAACCAAAACAAGTGTTGGACGTGATAAGAATTACGTTAATGTAAATAAATAACGTACCACTTCATACATCCGCCCAATCATCCGCTCAGGCATCCGCCAACGTAATATATTTTGTTTATCGTTGTTAAGTCATTTAAACTGTTGTTAAATTTCTTGAAAAACATGTTATGAAGTTGTTCCCATGGTCTGTCGTATTAACATGACAATGGTGATTAATGGTAAGGCAGGACCTTGACAGTTTTTAACTTAAGTTTTCTCGAAATTTCGTTTATTGCATTACCAACTAAAATAAAGTGTTTACCCTGATTTGTCATGGGATTCTTTGTATATGTACAGGTTTATAATGATGCATCAGAACTTGTTTACCAATGTTTATTTTGTGTTTGTACAGATGGTGGACAATGAGTGAATTCCGAGACTGTGGCGGATAACATAAAGATGGCTCCCTCCTACTTCAACACGTCCTGGTTCTATGGTATTCACGAGCATGGCTTTGGGAACTCCTCCTTCTTCACCTTCATTTCGGAGTTTAACCGTCCTTGGTCAGGGCTTCCATACATAGAGGCTTTGATTTTCACTGTGCTGTTTATATTTTCAATGTTTGGAAATATCCTTATTTTTTACCAAATGTTCCAGACAAAAAGCACGCGGACAGTTACCAACTGTATGATTGCCAATCTTGCAATGGCAGACATTTTATTTTCATTTGGAAGTCCTTTCATAGCAATAACGCGAGTAACAGGTGACTGGATATTCGGGGATGCCGTGTGTAAGGCATTTGTTTACCTTCTGTTTACTTGTGCAATGGTCATGATCTGGACCATGACAGTGATTAGTATAGACCGTCATATTTGTATCAATAAAACCACTTCCAAGAAAATGACTCCACGAGTAGCAGTCTCCATTATCGTCGTCACATGGATCATTTGTTTATTGTGCTTCATCCCACTTGCAATGTACTTCCACACCAGGTCGTTTCCGTTCGGACGAGATCACGTCACGATATGTACTTTGTCGTGGCCGAAGACAAATGGATTTCGCGTGTCCATCTTTTTCACCGTAGTGAGTTGTTTGTTTGGTTTTGTCATTCCCATCGCTATCATGAGTGTAAACTATTTTAAGATTATTCGCAAATTTATGAGATCACGACGCGCCATTTTGAATAATCACAACAGAGTGGACGTATTAAATTCAAACTCTATGAAGACCCGGAGAAATCGGGATCAACGGGACGTGAAAGTTGTTAAAACTTTACTTTTACTTGTGTTCCTCTTTATGCTAATGTGGTTGCCAATCTTTATTGTTTTCGTCATAATTCTTATTGACGGAATGAAGGATAACATGCAGCTGCCCTCCGTTGCCCTCATCATTACACTGTGTATCGCACTTGCGAACGCGTGTGTCAATCCTTTTCTTTATGGTGTTATTAACGACAAACTGCGTCGTGCCGTTCTCAAGTGTTTCGCGTGCAAGAACACGGCGTCGACAAGTGGGACAGGTAGTGCTATACGTCACAGTATCCGTGCCATTAGTTTTAGTCAGAACTCAAGCAACAGTGAGAACACAGTCAAGTAGCGAGTCAGGTTCAACATGGCGCCTGTCAAAACTATTTTCAAAGCTTACATTATTCAAACTATCTCTTTCTTGGGGCGGTCTGTTTTTATACTATTGCCAATTACAATCTACATATTTTTGCATCTATTTATTAACCTGGTAGTAGTTTTTGTTTACATTAAAATAAAACAATTCAGGAATATATATATATATATATATAAACATTAACATTATATTTTCAGGAGCAAAGTTAAGCTAACTATTACATGGTAACGAGACGAAGGTATCGAATACCAAACAAACACGTTTTGTAGTGCGGGACAATACTCTCAACACTACTGTAGATATAATGATTTCACGTATAGTCATAACATTGAAATATAATACTCCTTTTATCTTCATATGAACTACCCATGTTAAAAATAGTTTTTGTATGTTTTGTATATCGTGGGAAAATGCCCTGAAGCATGTTAAAAATAACAAACTTAAACCGTCATCTAAACGGGTTTTACATGTGTTTATAACTAGCTTATTATTGCCTTATATAAAAAAAAATAAAGTTGTAACGTAACAAAGCTTTGCTGGGTTTTATCTTTATCAGAGTGAATTTGATTTTACAATCGTAGTATAGTTCAGATAGATAGTGGCCTAAAAAAGGCTATAATACCACAAATGTATAGAAATGTTGTTATTTTTTCATTCCAAGATTATGATTTAGCCTGTTTCTGTCTAACCTTAAGTATTGATTATCATATTAGTGGAGGGTCTACTATTTTTAGATTTTAATTTTCATCTCTTCTGGCATTATGTACTATATCATGACTATTTAAGACTTCAAACAGTGTCCTTTTGGATATAGGATGATAAGATCCCGAGAGAGAAAAATGCAATATCATTAGCTAACCAATCAACTAGTTATTGTAATTGCAATATTGTATCAAAGGACAATACTACATATGTACAAAATGATTTCAAAAGACCAATCATCATGTGTTACAATGGCAGAGCTATATAGCTCGTACCCGTATCATTTGTTTGTGCTTTTCTAGGTATACAAATGAAGTAAAACACTTCGACATTATACGACAGCAAATAATAACGTTTTAAAACAGTTTCAAGAAAAGTATAGAACAACCAAGTTCTCGTTTCCAAGGATAAACATTGCATTTGATTCGGTAATATTTGATAACATTCACAATTATTCACAAGCATAACTAAAAACAATTGTTTCCCCATTACCAGTAAATCATGTTTGAAAGATACATTATGTAACACAATGTGCCTGTCATTGAGTTGTTTAACACAAAGTCAGATCCTGTGGAACCTCATTCAAATTGCTGTGTGGTGGCCTGATAATTACGTCACATAGATATCCAATTCTTAAAATTCGAAAAAGTACCATTTTAAAGAATTTTCTGGCTATCTACGACCCATATTTATATGTTCAAAATGGGGATGCCTATTCAGCACGTGTAAACGCCGAAAAACAAATAAAACAAAAAGGAAACTAGTGTGTAATCATGATTTATATTTAATACCAACTGAACCATTTAAAGTACAAAAAATCACGTTAATATTTTGACAACAGCTTAAAATTATCTTTCAATTCGGCATTTGTGAAATCAAAATCGCACAAGAGTGAGGCGAAATCTGCTGTGATTTATCTTTGGGGAAACTACATAGGATTAGACTGATTTACAGATGCACAGAATTGTGGAAAGATATATAACTTGTTTTTTAATTAGACGTTTGTGAAATCCAAAACGCGTAAGAGTGAGGCAGTTTCAATAGCCGACACAATGTGACCTATTCGAAACAGAAAGTGTCAGCACAACTTGGATGAGATTGACATTGTATTTTGAATTACTGTAATGTGGGTTATACAGAGAATAGTGATCTACTTTTTATACTCTGAAAGACATACCCATATACACCAAAAAGTACCTAAGCGTTAACAAAACCTTAATTCCAACGGATATATGTACAATCTCGACAAAGTCAATGACATTATAAAATGTATATAAGCCTAAAACTATAGTAAAATTCTGTTGTTATGATATTCTATCAGTAAAAAGGGTAATCATATCTCGTTTTGTCTCGTCTACTAGTTTGTATCAGACTGATTTACTGTTCGTTTGACTGAAGCAGGGTCGTTAATGTATTGTGTTAAGCCAGAGTCTCAAGTGCGGTAGACACTGGCCACTTATGGTCAGGTGATGTGACGCCGGTTCCAGGGTTCCGCACTAGATATGGATTAATTACTACGTTATGATTCGGTAAATAGGCGCGCGCCATTTATGGTGTCCTTGGCACTACTTCACATCCTAAGTTATCTCGTGTTAACAGCTAAATTTCTCGTCTTATCTACAACTATCGACATAGTAGGAATGAACTTATGCAGAATATAGTTCAATCTGTCAATGTGTGCCATTATTGCGTAATTTAGCAACATGGTCCAATAGTGTTTCCTGAAGTTCTCAACCAAAGCATTATCGAATTCAACAAAAGTTGGATTAAACTATTACAAACGATTTGGGCGAATTTATTTCTCCATATGTTATCATAGACATTGTTGACGTATTTAATGTGATATCATTCCAAAATAAAATTCTGAAGATGGTTCCTGTCATAATCTGCGAAGGATAGTAACCATACGGGAGGAGCAAAGCTATCACAATACTGTCATTGACGCTTACGCTTCCGGAGCGCCTGTTCATATTTCACCATAAACATAGAGCTCCACCGATATGATCGGTATCTTATCTTTTTAGGACAGAAACAAATGTACCACGTCGTCAATAAATAACTAACCTTGTTTTGTGCTACAGGAACCAAGGTTTTCCGGAAGTGTAAGCGGTTTTGGTATTTTAGAGACGTAGGTTTTCCTGACATGTAAGCTTGTTTTGTACTACAGGAACCAAGGTTTTCCGGAAGGGTAAGCTTGTTTTGTACTACAGGAACCAAGGTTTTCCGGAAGTGTAAGCTTGTTTTGTACTACAGGAACCAAGGTTTTCCGGTAGTGTAAGCGTTTTTGGTATTTGAGAGACGTGGGTTTTCCTGACATGTAAGCCTGTTTTGTACTACAGGAACCACGGTTTTCCGGAAGGGTAAGCTTGTTTTGTACTACAGGAACCAAGGTTTTACGGAAGGGGAAGTTTGTTTTGTACTACAGGAACCAAGGTTTTCCGGAAGTGTGAGCGTGTTTTGTACTACAGGAACCAAGGTTTTCCGGAAGTGTAAGCGGTTTTTGGTATTTTAGAGACGTAGGTTTTCCTGAAATGTAAGCTTGTTTTGTACTACAGGAACCAAGGTTTTACGGAAGGGTAAGCGTTTTTTGGTATTTTAGAGACGTAGGTTTTCCTGAAATGTTAGCTGCTTTTGTACTACAGGAACCAAGGTTTTCCGGAAGTGTAAGCGTTTTTTGGTATTTTAGAGACGCAGGTTTTCCTGAAATGTAAGCTTGTTTTGTACTACAGGAACCAAGGTTTTCCGGAAGGGTAAGTTTATTTTGTTCTACAGGAACCAAGGTTTTCCGGAAGGGTAAGCTTGTTTTGTACTACAGGAACCAAGGTTTTCCGGAAGGGTAAGCTTGTTTTGTACTACAGGAACCAAGGTTTTCGGAAGTGTAAGCTTGTTTTGTACTACAGGAACCAAGGTTTTCGGAAGAGTAAGCTTGTTTTGTACTACAGGAACGAAGGTTTTCCGGAAGGGTAAGTTTGTTTTGTACTACAGGAACCAAGGTTTTCCGGAAGGGTAAGTTTGTTTTGTTCTACAGGAACCAAGGTTTTCCGGAAGGGTAAGCTTGTTTTGTACTACAGGAACCAAGGTTTTCCAGAAGGGTAAGCTTGTTTTGTACTACAGGAACCAAGGTTTTCCGGAAGTGTAAGCTTGTTTTGTACTACAGGAACCAAGGTTTTCCGGAAGAGTAAGCTTGTTTTGTACTACAGGAACGAAGGTTTTCCAGAAGGGTAAGTTTGTTTTGTACTACAGGAACCAAGGTTTTCCAGAAGGGTAAGTTTGTTTTTACTACAGGAACCAAGGTTTTCCGAAAGAGTAAGCTTGTTTTGTACTACAGGAACCAAGGTTTTCCGGGAGGGTAAGTTTGTTTTGTTCTACAGGAACCAAGGTTTTCCGGAGGGGTAACCTTGTTTGTACTACAGGAACCAAGGTTTTCCGGGAGTGTAAGCGTTTCCTTAACTTACTATATATCTTATTATGTTACATTTTTGAAGGAAAATCAGTTCTTTATCTTTTTCGACCCAACTCAATATTACGAGCTCGTGACCGAAGGGTTGCAGGTTCGAGTCACATCACGGCACTGTATTGTATCTTTGAACAAGATACTTGTTCCAGTCTATTCAGCTGTAAATGAGTACGTGGTTGGGCAGTGCTATAATTGATGAATGCTAGCTGTGAGCGCCGAAATTGCAGCACCGATTGTATACTCCCCAGGGAGTTTAGAAAGATATGGCTGGTTGCAAAGGCCCTATAATCACGGATAATAATTTGTGAACCGCTTTGAGACGACCTACGAACTAGGTAGTGATAAAGCGGTATATAGAACCTTTAATCTTCGCTAGACCTAGGTATATGATTGAGATACTATGTCGTTTTGTAGCATTTAGTTGGGTCGCAAAAGAGATTGACAAGTTACAGGTATAATGGCGGTGAACAAATTTTATTAAAACATGCGCCTTAATGCTTCATAATTGATAACGTTTCGGTCGCTATATACCATCTTATTAACTAAAGTACATAGCGACATTATGAAGTTCAAGTTTCATAAATCCAACTAACATAACTGAATTATAGGGGCGGGCAGGCGCTATATACAGTGTAGCCTGTATTGATAATTATTTTACTCGTAAACATTAATTCTTGGAACCAACTCTTCAACATTAGTTTATGAATTTTTCATTAAGTAATTCTACATTTTACCAGGGTTGTGTAAGTTTTAACCCTATTTGCACGTTTGATTACTGTTTCTTAGGTTAAGCTTACTTCGTTAATTAACTTAGAATGAAACCTCGTTTTCTGAAAATGCAGTTGCAAAATTATGCAGATATGAACACTACGAAAATGTCAATCAATACTTTTAAGCAATTCTGGTATTTAAAATATGAGCAGAATGTATTTCAAATGATTCAACATAACTTAAAGCATCATTCCTATCCTTTGATGTCGAACTACATGTACATGTATGAACTACATTGTATTCGGATCTCCTATCGTTTTGTGTTTGTGGATGACTGCGAAACCTTATCAAATGTTATCCAAGGTACATACATAATACACGAGGATATAAAATAATGCAAGTCAGTCCTTAATGTTTTTTGCATCTGTCGCACATATTGTTCTGTGGTAAAATTGATCTTGTTAATTTATTCATATTCTAAGCAAACTACACTCACCTCCTTAACTCGAAATCCTGGTGTTCGTTTTGTTATATTTACTTCTTGGCTGGAACTAACATCCGAAAATATTACAAATGACGAAATAAACAAATGAAAAGAATATATAGTTCACCAATTTTAACATTTATATTGAAAGCGAAATATGATTTTTGAAATATTAAATATGTTTCAATAAACCACCCTCTGATTTATTTCTTTTAAAATGAAACTTGATATATTATACAGCAATTATGATATACGTTAATTCTATAAACTTATTCCTTCATTAAAAATATATAGACCATAGGACAGACGGACGACCACGCTCATTCACTTACAACGTAGATATATGTTACCAGCGACAGATAAACATCTCCAGGTACGGACAACATCCACACCTTATACGATTCTTTCTTGGTCTGTTAGCAGTTTCTATTTTGTCCTGTTTAATATCAATTAACGTTGTTGTGTCATACCATAATATTGTAACTAGATGGTTCTAATTAAAAAACGCCATTTTCAGATGAGTTAAGTTTGATGAAATCCTCGTCTTATACAGTTGTGTTATATCAGTTCTATCACCCTTCATAATTTCCATGTAATAGCAAAAAGGGACGATCAAAGTAGGGTCATATTCTACCGAGAGTTTTCTGGGTCAACGCAATATCAAGAAAACTATGTTCATTGTGTAGTTTCATCTGGACAGTTTTTTTTCTGGCTGTTGAAGACATTCAATATACTAATACTACTGTACTGAAAGCATGTTTTTTGGTTGAGGAGCTTAATACTCAAAGTGAATATTTGAAGCTTACCTGTGCTTGAGGGTAATTAACCTATTATTGGGGATAAACAATAGATAACGGAAGGTCACACATAGGGGCCATTTCTGAATCGAGATGAGGGGGCCTTTAGACCGTCACACATTTTTGAACAAATACCTAACAAAGCGCAGCCTAATCGATTGGATCGTTATTTCGTACTGTCGAACTGTATATATTTTATATAGTTTATATATAGTTATAAACTGCCGGATACAGCCGTTATACCTGATCTGCTAGTAACAGGATTTGGCAATAGCGTTCACTTGTTTCTCCATGTTCAGTGAACTATCAAAGTATACCACTAGGTTTTTAACAGTTGGGACAGTCTCAATAGTTCTGGCACCGACCTTGGGTTGGAGAGCCATTGTTTGCGGACACTCTCGGGAAAAGACGACTAGTTCCGTCTTTTCCTGATTAAGCTTTAGCATGTTGGCATTCATCCAGGTACTGATGTCTGTCAGACAAGCTCATATATTTTCTGAAATTGTATACCAACTGTCCTGTGGTTTGATGACCATGTAAATGTGTGTGTCATCAGCATAGCAATGATACCGAGGGCTAAGGTGATGAAAAATCTCTCCGATCGGTTGGAAGTACAAGCAATATGTTCGTGGTCCTAACATTGACCCTTAAGGAACCCCGAAATCTAGTACTTTGTCATGTGAGGTGGTAGATCCGATGGCAACACACTGTCGTGGTTCATTCAGATAAGACTGTAACCAGCTTAGTGTGTTATCAGTCACTCCATAAGAGTACTCCAGACGTTTATTAAGTATGCCATGGTCGATGACGTCAAAAGCAGCTGACAGGTCCAGCAGGACAAGCACCGCTCTGCACTTGTTATCCAAAGCAGAAGCTTTGTCATTATGCACACGTAAGAGGGACGTCTCAGTAGAGTGTCCCATGCGGTAGGCCGATTGCAGGTTGTCATGAAGACTGTTGCATGGGGATGAACCTGTAAACGCCGGAACACAAGCTTCTCCAAGATCTTAGACAGAAAAAGCAGAATTGATAAATGGCGGTAGTTCTTCAACTCCTCCTTTTTCATTCCAGGCCTCTTCAACAATGGTCTAACATGTGCCTTCTTGAAACACAATTGAACCTTTGACTCAGCCAATGATTTGTTCATGATTGAGGTAATTAAAGGAGGCATTGCTTCAAGAAATTGCTTTAATAAGTTTGTAGGCAGTGGATCAAGCTCACAGGAATTCGATTTGGAGGTCATGATGCTGTCCTGGGTTGTTAGTGAGAGCTTTGTCAATGGTTCCCCATCAAATTCAACGTCACCAGTCATGACAGAGATATCATTGTCAGCAGTAGAGTTCACTTCGGCAATATTTTTCCTGGTCGAGCTGATTTTATTCAGAAAGTAATCACTGAACTTGTTTGACAAGTCTTTTTCAGAATTACAGCTTCTGACCAATTAGGTTTTTGGTGAGCGCTGTCTATGATCCTTACCACATTCTTCGATTCTTTCCGAATAATAAGTAAATAATCAAGATGCTGAGATGTTCAGTTATCAAATTTGAACAAATGGTTGACCTTGATCAACTATCAAGGCCACAAAGGTCAAATTTTTAAAAACTAAAAAATTCTTTAATCAAGAATATTTCGAAAATTGTTCGATAGATTCACTTTATATGCAGGTATGATGTTGACAACACAAATGCGCATATTTTTGACAAAAAAGATTTTATAGTTGACCTGGTAAATTTTTGAGTTATAGCAACATTTGTGCTATTTCAAGGTAACGACTTCAAAAATTTCTTCTAGCGTTCTACAAGGTCTAGAGTCTTAATATTTGATACATAACATGGTCCGGTAATTGGCTATCAAGTTTGTAAAAATGATTGACCTTGATCGACTTTCAAGGTCACAGATGTTATATATGTAAAAATATTGAAGTCATTTTTTCTGAATAACTAATAATCCCAGGGTAACGATGTTTGGCAAGAAGCATGCTTGGATGAAGGGCTTTAAAGTGTGAGCAAATGAATGACTTTGACCTACTTGAACTATAATTTTAAAAGTGAAAGTCAAAAACCGTTTTCATTTTTTGTGCGATTTTGCCATTTTCTCAGTACTCTCAGTACTTTGATTTATATTTAGACACACAAAAAAACTCAGATTTTATAGAATAATCTTTTTCTATGTTATACCAAGAAGCAAAGGGTAATATTTGTGAGGCAGACTCATAGTGGAAAGATGGGTTGCAGGTCAAAGGGGTCGAAAGTGTTGTTCTTATTATGAGGGCTTTTCACCATCAGATTCGTGAGATTTTGGCGTCCAAATCTTTTGATTGGCAGCAGACATGTTAAAAGTCTTTCATGTATATTGTAGGCCATGATTTGAAGATGTTATTGCAACGACCAAAATCCAATATGGCTGCTATGACGTCATAGGTCAAAATCTTAAAACCGCCATAACTGAAAATCCATTTATTATAGCATTTATGCTTGATATCATTTGCAAATATTGCTTGGGGCTAACTCTTTTTTCATAAAATGCTATTAGATAAAATTCTCCCCATCGGGTCAATGGCCATCAATTTTTCAACTTTTTTTTTTTTTTTTTTTTTTCAAATCTTTTTGCAGTCGATGTGGAATTCCATCCCAATGATTGGCTGTCTTCGGTTTTTTCTGTAACGTTTACCGTAAACGTCCTATGCTATTTTGAATATTTCCTTTGATAGTAAAACATTCTTATCAAATTCTGCCAGTGAAATATTAACCAAAATTGGTACATGTATTACTCAGGAGGACATGACGAACTTATGTTTCTTTTTGGAGTGATTACAAATTCAATATGGCCGCTACGGGCTCCGATTGGTTAATAGCTTATACCAATCTATTTCGTTAACAGAGTCAAGCACAAAGTTTATCTTTTAATATGATATAGTGATAAGCAATGGCAAATTTTTTCTCTCATATTGTTTAAACAAAAAATGTCAACTTCTGGTTTTCGGTATGGGGTCAAAGTTCAAATGTGCTGTTTTGTGTAAAACATTCTAGTACCTTCTCCTCACATTCTGCCAGTGTAATGATAACCAAAATTAGTACATGTATTTCTCTGGGGGTCCTAACGAACACATCATAATTTTTGGAGTTATTAATATTCCAACATGGATGCCACGAGCTCTGATTGGTTAACAGCCTATACCAATATATTTCGTTCACAATATCAAGCACGCAGTTGATCTTTGAATATGGTATTGAGATATACAAGGAAAACTTTCTCTTTAATATTTTTTAAGCATCAAATATCAACTTCCGATTTTCGGTACGGGGTCAAAACTTAAATGTGCTGTTTTAGTTAAAAACATTTTCGGATCTTCTTCTCCATTTCTGCTATTGCAATATTAACCAAAAATAATTCACGTATTTTTCTTGGGGTCCTGGCGAACTAATGTTAATTTTTGGAGCAATTAAAATTCCAACATGGCTGTCACGAGCTCTGATTGGTTAACAGCCTATACCAATACTTTTCGTTCACAATATCAAGCACACAGTTGATCTTTGGATATGATATAGAGATATACAAGGGCAAACTTTCTCTCCCATACTGTCTTAGGAAAAAAATATCAACTTCCGATTTTCGGTACGAGGTCAAAACTCAAATGTGCTGTTTTAGTTAAAAACATATTCGGATCTTCTTCTCCATTTCTGCCAGTGCAATATTAACCAAAATTAGAACATACATTCCTCTAGGGGCTCTCACGAACTTATGTTAATTCTGGAGCAATAAAAATTCCAACATGGCTGCCACGAGCTCTGATTGGTTAACAGCCTATACCAGTATATGCTGTTGATCTTTGGATATGATGAAGAAATAAGCGTGGGGAAACATTTTCTTTCATCTTTCATGGGTATCTACAAAAATTCTACCATATGTCCTAGAAGAAATCTCCCGTGTTCTGGGAACTCAGTTTATAGTAAAACCCGACTTTTTACATATTTGAAAATATTAATAAATTTTGTACTTCACTAAATAGATTTTTGTAGTTGTTCATCGACATTAACCTTCGAGATTTGTCAATGTATAGACATATCATAGCAACACCTTTATCATACTAAAATTTTCAAGATCTTTAGTTTTTTATTTCTTTTTTATGATTTTCATCTTCATCTATAAACCTTCCTCCGTCAATATTGACGATTACGGAATTCTGGTCTTGTGCTGTAGTGCGTTGTTATGTACAGTGATTTTTTATTTTATTTTTATTATTTGCTATAGGATAAAAACAGGTTAAAAGCAGTGAGTGCTAGTAATGTTGTAGGTTTTTTATATGCTCGATTATGTTATATGTGGGGCATGTCCCGAATTCTGCTAGTGTTCTGATTGGATTATTGTTTTGGGTAGAGTTTCCGCTGTGTTATGGTGTATGGAAAGAATGTGTGTCTGCATGTGTCTTTGGATGTGTAGATATGTATGTAACTAAGGTCGTGTCCTTGACGTGTTCTGGTGTCTGCCGGTATGAGACTGTTAGTGTGTATTGCTACTTGTTAGTGTATTTTTTTTAGGGAAGAATAATGCGCGTTCTTGTTCTGCGTGTGTGTAGTGTTGGCCATTGCAAGTTGTGTATCATATCTGTGACTGAGCTTGAGTTATGGTATTTGTGAAGGACGTATCGTGCTGCTCTACGTAATACTTGTTCTAATTGATTTATGTTGTTTGTATAATGAGGGTCCCAGCCTAAAGAGCAGTATTCAAGTTTTGGTCTTACAATGGCTATGTATGCATGTTCTTTAATGTGTTGTGAATTTATTTTTAAGTTGCGTTTCAGAAAGCCTAGTGATCTATTTGTGTTTGATGTGATGTTGTTCATGTGTTTGTCCCGTTTTAAGTTGTTTTGAAGTGTGATGCCTAGATATTTGTTTGAAGTTACAGATTCTAGTGTGTGGTCATGGAGTGTGTATTGGTGTTTAATTTGTGTGCGTTTTGGTGATATAGTGAGTATGGTGCATTTGTCTGGGTGGAATTTCATGAGCCAGTCCTCTTCTCATTTACTAGCTGCATCTAAATCTGTTTGTAGTTTTGTTGTATCATCTTTGTTGTTGATGGTTTATTATAGTATGCTGTCGTCTGCAAAAAGTCTTAGTGTACTGTGTGATACGTATTCAGGGAAGTCGTTGATGTATTTGAGGAAGAGGACTGGTGCCAAGCCTCGAGGTTCCTTGAGGCACTCCAGATGTTACTGGGATTTTGTCGGAGTGTTTGCCCTCAAGGACTGTTTGGGTGCGTTGTGATAAGATGTCTGTTATCCATGTTAGTGTGGTTCCGGTGATTCCGTAATATTTTAGTTTGTATTGTAAGTGTTTGTGTGGAACTTTGTCAAATGCTTTGGGAATGTCCATTATGATGATGTCTGTGTGTTTGTTGTTGTGGTGGTGGTTCTGTGCAAGGTCTTGTATGAATGTGATTAGTTGTGTTTCGCAAGATCTTGATGTGCGGAAGCCATGTTGTAGGTCGTGCAGTATTGTGTTGTCTTCAGTGTTTCATGGTTGTACTTGTGATGATGTGTTCTAGGAGTTTGCATGCGATGTATGTGAGTGATATCGGTCTGTAGTTTGTTGGGTTGTATTTGTCTCCTATTTTGTAAATGGTGTTTACGTTGGCGTGTTTCCAGTCACTGGCTAATGTTCCTGTATTGAGTGATGTTTGGAATATTTTTGTTAACATAGGTGCTGTGATGTCCTTAAGTTCTTTCAGTATTCTGTCGTGTTATGTGGTCTGGGCCTGTTGCTTTATGTGGGTTAATGTTATTGAGTAGCTTGTATCTGGCATGTGTGGGTGGGGCGATATTCCTTTGTCAGGTATTGTCGTGTTTTGTTCTGGTGTGAAGGCTTTTTGGAACTGTTCATTTAATATGTTTGCCTTTGTTTCTGGGTCTGTTGTGAAGTGTTCGTTTTTTTACGTAACTTGCTATGATGTCTGTGTTTCCTTTTTTGTGGTTTTGATGAATGAGAAGAGTTTTTTAGGGTCGTAAATGTGTTCCTTGTACTGTAGCCTTCATGCAGGTTCGCCTATTGGTAGGTCTAGATCTGTAATCATCTTCTCAGTGTTGTGTATAGGTATGCATTGCGGGTTTGATTGATACGGACGGTCCATATTAATCATAAAAGAAGAAGAAAAAATGATTGAAAATGTCAGTCTTCTCGAAAATTTCCAAAACTTTTAACAGTTGTACACGTATGGCGGTTGATGTTTCTTCTTTTTTATAACCCTATAATTTGGTTTCACCCAGTCCCCCTTTTTAATCAGTTTTAAATTATTCCAAAAACAGTTGCTTAAAAAACAAAGTTGCCCGCATTGCTTCAAAGGGAAACCTTCGATTAGTATATTGGCGTAAAGTTGGTAAGGTCCATAAGATTTTTTAATGTTGCGTTCGGTTTTTTCTACATCCGATTTTTGTATAAACCAGATGTAAACACTTCCGGTATATTTCTATCGGTACACGCTGTTGTTGGTTGTTAGATACACAGACATCGAGGTGTCAAAGTTTAAGAATTCAGTTTCTATCTTAGGACGAACACATACCATTCCCTTCAAAGTGTTTCCTTTACACGATGCATGCAATGAATGAACGATCGCTTGTCAAGTGTGTGTGTCACAGGGTTCATGGTTGGTGTCGGTGAGAGTAATGAAGCGAAACATTTGACCCTTCTACTCGTGTACGTTTTGTAAGGGACGGATGATGGATAATGGTACCGGCACTGAGTCTACAGGCGGAGCGATTGACTATGACATCCTCAGTCCTCGGTGCTGTGTTAGACCGCGTAAGGATACAAAACATGAAGGGTTGAGGAACTGGGTTGTTATAATTACGTATGCTAGTGTAAATATAAGAATGTTACACTTTGGACCCCAGTGAAGAATAAGCGGCATTACATGTCTATGACTTCAAAAGAATGCCTTATATATATATATGATAACATGATTGTGCATGTAGAACAGAAGAATTAATTAAAATATGATTATGAATAACTGAATATTTCCAAATCTATTTATAATACCACAACATGTTATTATGTAATATTCATTACAATATATATGTACTTTACAACTCATGACTATAACTGTATAAGTCAGTAATTAGATGTAAATGTTTTTGTAACAAGTCTGTAGGCAGTACATGTTCTAAATGTTCGTCAGTCATAAATTGTACCTGCCTCCCCAAATGAAATTGATTGATTTATGGAAAGGTCACAGAAAAGTGGGACCAAACCTTGTAAGTCTGGCCAATTATCATGCCAACAGCTAGATACATATAGGCTTTTGTGTACCTTGGAGGCTAAAAGTTGTAGAAATAGATTTTGCCCTGCAGCAGTACAATAATAGCTCAGCTCTGGGACGCAAAAGGTATGTGTCATGAAATATAAGCATGACAATAAAATGCAAGTCAATGTAGAGTGATCCTCTTCTCTTAACAGGAGAAATGGGAAAAGGCAATTCTGAAGCTCTGAAATAGGAAACGCCCAATCATGAACATATTGGGAGGCATTACATGCATACAGTGTAGAAACTACTTAATGCCATAGATACAATTTATATCATTTAAAGAATTTTGTATGCTTACATTTATATATTGATGCATGTTTTTTTTCATAATGTGTATATAATGCACATACTGTTGTTTTTTTACTGACCCTTGATATTTTCATTTTGTCTTTTAAGCTATGCCATGGTTTGGAATGGACATTGGAGGCACTTTGACAAAACTTATATATTTTGAGCCAAAGGACAGGACAGCACAAGAAGCTGAAGAGGAAAAAGAAACTATAAAAGTTATCCATAGTTACCTGATAGGAAATGTTGCTTATGGAAAAACGGGTATCCGTGATGTTCATTTGGAAATGTGCAATCAGACAATAGGAGGGAGGACAGGAAGTCTTCACTTCATACGATTCCCCACATGTGAAATGTCTGCATTTATTGACCTAGCTAAAGTAAAAAACTTCTCTAGTCTAGCCACAGGGATATGTGCAACGGGGGGAGGAGCCTACAAGTTTGAGGAGGAGTTCAAACAGGTATTTAATTAATGTGAAGCTGTGTTGGTATTGTGTGTATTAAATTTGTTAAAAATGATCAGGAAATCATAAATCAAACACAGCACTGGAGATGAAGTCATAATTATATGTACTTGTATCAGTATCCTTTTTTATGTATCAAGTGAATTATTAAAAAAGATTTTGGGGTGGTTGGGTGGTGCAGTGGATAGCACCCTATCCTTTCTCCAAGGCTTGTGGGATTCAATTCCCCAATCAGATGTGAAAAGGTATAGGGTCACTTGCCCAACCCTGTGGGTTTTCTCAGATACTCTGGCTTTCTCCCAAATACAATATAAAGATCCCCTACGATTTAGTCTTTATACTCTTTGGAGATTAAACTTTGCTTGTTAAGAAGGATGTGGAACCTTTATCTGCATTAGGGCAGAGGGATGAATAGGGGAAATACAGGTAATTCATCAAAAGAAAGCTTCATTAGTGTGAGTCTGGGGAATTTTATCTACTTTAAAAATAAATAATAATATACAACATATCATATAGCACCCTATCTAGCTAACATAAGCCACTCTAAAGTGCGTTACAGTACATAGATATACAATGTACAATTAGCATATACATTAATCAATACAATTTTGAGAAATTTGCAGGATCTGCCTTATCAGGTGCTAACTACTAGTCATATGCCACCTGGCTAGTATCTCCCTATGTGTGTATGCCTGCATGTGCTGGAGATGTGATGTACATGTGTTCTGTATGAGTGGGGCCGTGCTTCCAATGCCATCATCTATAGTGCCACCTCACTCGAATGCTACAGCACAGATACCGCAACATCCACCCAAGACCAATTTATACTCCACCTGGGTTGTTAGCCTCTATTGTAGACTATCGTTTATTGTAGACTCGATGTATAAATTTATAACTTAATTTGATATGGATCATCCTGGAGTTAAGGGGGCTTGGTGAACAAAGTGCACAGGATTGGGATATAATAGTAGAAATCGATTAAGAATAGAATATATTAATGACCATTATATGCATCCTCGATATCCAGGGGTTACGGTCACATTCATTCTCTGCACCCCTGGAATATGTCATAGCAAAATTAAAGGCATGTGGCTAACTATTTGATTGGTGCCAGGTAAAAAACCTGACCAATTGCAAGGCTGATACCTGTCCTTTGACCATTACAGCGGAGCAACACCCAACTTCAAAGCAAGTAAGTTTTACCATTACTGGATGGCAAACGTTTTTTTGACGTACATCAAAGGATCAAACTAGTCTCCTCGTCTCATCAACAAGGTGCTGCACACTGAGCCTTCAATTCTGCTATGACATATTTTAAGGGGGCAGAGAGCAGAAGTGAGAGTAACCGCTGGATATTGAGGATGCCAGACAATTTTATCACAGACCAAGAGAACAATTCAGGTCCTTTACACAGTTTACATGACATACATAAATGCATTCTGAATTTGTTTTCCTGTGTTTTTCAGCGTGTCAACCTAAGTATGTACAAGTTTGATGAGTTAGATTGCTTGATAAAGGGAATCCACTACATAGACCGGCATAATCTCAGTGAATGTTATTATTGGAAGAATCCAGGTGACCCCGACACATGTGAGAAAGTTCCATTTGACTTCCATGACCCCTATCCCTATTTGGTGGTCAATGTGGGGTCAGGGGTCAGTATACTGGCTGTTCGGGCTTATAATGATTATAAGAGAGTCAGTGGTACAAGGTAATATAACTGTCAATCAATCTTATCAATAATAATGACATTTCCATCCTATTCTGAATTCTGTTTTGTCAAAAAATAATGTAGCTGTTTAACATAACAATGCAATTCTATAAACTTACAAAAGAATAATAATCTTGGAGAATAATGCTAAATTAATTCTTATTAAAATATAATTTAATAATCAGCATAGCCTGACAGTATGACCATTTAAAATGTATGTATATACATGTACAATTTATGAATAAACATCTACATTGATGTGTACATTACAGTCTTGGAGGTGGGACGTTCTTCGGTCTGTGTTGTCTCCTCACTAACTGCGATACATTTGAGGAAGCCATAGCATTAGCGTCTAAGGGAGATAACACTAAGGTGGACAAACGAGTCAAGGATATATATGGTGGCGACTATAACCGATTCCATTTGCCTGGTGATATTGTGGCTAGCAGGTAAACTTGTAATTAAGTATAAGGCCAAAAACAAAAATGTGTTTTTCCAGATTCCCTACTGACCCTAGATTTTTGTGCCTACCCTAAAGTTTTTATTGGCATTTAGTGATGAGCACTGTTAAAGTCAAAACTGCTGCTCTATATAAGCATAGGACAAACATATTTTAAAAAAATGCTTACCTAACAACCCTTTTTTTTCAAGCAGACTCAGGAAACACACATTATTATTTAGGCCTAATTTTTAATTGTTGGGACTTGTAGTTTTGCATGTTTTTCTAGCCTTGCAATAACTTACAGATCATAACACCTGAAGAGAAAAAATATTTTTTACAAAACAATGCATTGCTTTTCAAATTGATGCCATGGTTACAGTGACAGGATCTTTGCAGTATAAGATCAAAAATTACCAACAGCATGTATTTATCGGTCCAAATCATAACTTTTCATTTGCAAAAGGTTTCATGTCATTTCACTGACAACTTTGCCCTAGAGACGATGGTCTCTAGGCGAGGTTGTATTGTCAGATGTGGCGTCATGGACTTATTTGTAGTGCTTTCTCTCTGTGTTAACGTTGTCCCGTCTTTCCTGAGAGACCTGAAGTACTGTTTACAACACCAATCTTGATTTACTTCTCTGTCCCTCCTACGTTGCTGTCATCAAGATGATAGGATTTAGACCAAGTTTGGTCCATAGATACATTTTTATAAATGTAATTGTCTAATTTATACACCCATCAAAAACATTTTGAGAAAAAAAATTCTATACTCTGCAAAATCACTTAGGGTTGCAGTTCAGGCCCTAGAGCCTCAAAAAATAGGAAACTTTGCAGGAACTTTAATCATAAAATAAAATTAATATGTTCATGTTAAGATAAAGTTTGGCAAAAATATTTATATATATAAACTATTTCCAAACTATTTCAGTTTTGGCCAAATGCACCTCAAGGACAAAAGGGAACAATCCAGCCGAGAGGATTTAGCCAGAGCCACACTAACAACGATCACAAACAACATTGGTTCTATAGCTCGGATGTGTGCTGTGACTGAGGTAAACGACTTACAGCAAGTACATGTCTGTGTGCTACAGAGATAAGGGACTGTACAGGGCTGTCAGCGGTACAGAGTTTCAGCCCAGGGATCTAAAATTTGAAAACTGAGACACCTCGTACCTGGTTACTCAAAATTTGACTACATCGCTGTTGAGACAGGTCTTTATCATCAGAGAGATGTATAAAATCTCGTAACTGTGACTAGGTTTTGTTAGCTCACCTGGCCCGAAGCTACAAAGTTTGTTCAAATTAATGACCTTCGTCCATATTCAAGGTCACAGGGGTCAATTGTCTTGAAAACCTTTAAACAACATCTTTTGTATAACCAAAAGGTCCAGGGTGATGATATTGGCCAGGAGAATGTTGGCATGAAGGGCTACAAAGTTTGTTCAAACAAATGACCTTCACTCATATTCAAGGTCACAGGGGTCAATTGTCTTTAAACCTTTAAACGACTTCTTTTGTATGGCCAAAAGGTCCAGGGTGATGATAATTGGCCAGAAGGATGTTGGCATGAAGGGGTCAAATATGTTGAAATCTTTAAACAACGTCTTTTGAATAACTAAAGCATACAGGGTGATTGCTTGTTGATGTGAATGACCTTGACACACCTTCATGGTCACATCTGGTCAATAGTGCATGAATCTTTAAAAGTCATCTTCTCATTAAATAAAAGGTACAAGGTGGTGATATTTGGCAAGTTGCATTCTGGTAGGAAGGGCTATGAAGTTTGTTCAACTTCATGTCCATGTTTGACTTTAAGGTGACAGGGGTCGAATGTGTTTAAATCGTTTAACAGGTTCTTCTGAATGAATTTCACAACACTCTAACATTGAGCATATGGTATGAAAATATTTTGAAGAAGTTCAAAAATTAGAATCTAGATAAGATCTTTTATATTTGCACTATGACAAAGGTTACTGGAATTGTATATTAAAACTATAACTTAAATTTACATGTGTATGTCATTTGTTCTAGAAAATTGAGCGAGTGGTGTTTGTTGGGAACTTCTTACGTGTGAACACTATCTCCATGAAGTTGCTGGCCTTTGCCATGGAGTTTTGGTCAGATGGAGCGATGAAGGCTCTTTTTCTGGAGCATGAGGTAAGACCTAAACCAAACTCAGGGGTAAAATTATAAAAAAAGGTTATTGGCCCAAAGGTCCAGTTGAAGTAGAAATTCACTGGCCCTGTTTGAAGTGTACTGGTCTAGAAAACAAGGACAGGAGGCCCGAGCGAGCGCCAAAGGCACTCGATACTAGGGGGGTACTGGCGTATGCCCCCTGGAATTTTGAAATCTGGAAGCTCTGGTGCAATCTTGGCTTAAGATAAAGCTTTTCAAATCTGCTGAAACTTAAGATAAATTTACCCAATATCTACTGGCCTGGCGGAATAGCTTGTTGAAAAACCTACTGGTCCACTCAGAAAACCACTGGCCACAGGCCAGCGGCATAAGTGGTTAATTCCGCCTCTAAAACATACATTTGTCACATTGTGACTAGAAGCCAAATAAAGGTAAAATATTACTGTTTAGAAAAAAGCAATCAGCGATATTTATTTACATGTTCTATTGTCATTCACACGTGACTTATTTATTTTGTGTATATCTTTCAGGGTTATTTTGGTGCTATGGGCTGTATGATGGAATACATCTCTTCTAGGTCTGGAGATTCCTTTTCTTACCCACATCCCGATAACACAACTAATGATCACTGTGACCATCGGCCTGGTTGTATGGATCCTGACCATCACAAGTCTGACCAAAGGGACCAGGACCATACACACACGAATGGGTTAGGATGACCACACTGACCATTAGTGTTGTAGCCATACTGTAGATATTCCAGTTTTACTGCTGTGATATAAAATTGCTGATAATTTATAATAAGTAGATGTGATACTTTGTATACCCTAAAATCTCAAAATTAGCATGAGCAAAATAAAAGACAGTCTCAAAAATAAATCCTTGTGTGAAATTAGGGACCTCCCAACAAATATTTTAGTACCGGTTGCACTGTTATGAGCCATGGGTTTCATCTATCAGTCACACAGAGATGTAAAATGTCAACAATTTCTATTTATGTGTTCATCACCACATTATAATGACTTAGTATATCAACTATGTCTTGATACATTACTTGGTGTCGGGACTGCTATACGAAATGTTTAACTTCAACATTTGTGGTTAAAAAGAAATGTTGACTTTTAAAAATGAGCAGTGGGCGCAGGGCAGGTCGAGATGGGCGCAGCACCAATAAGCAAATTGGGTCTGGGGAATACTCCGCGATGCATACATGTAATAAAAACTTTGTAGAGACAGCCCAAATGGGGAAATAGGGGTTAACCTTTAAAAGACCACTCCTTAAATACAGACAATGATTTTCACCTAATTCTTCATAGCTCATAGGCCAAAAAAGGGAAATAAGGGTAAATCTTTAAAAGACTTATTGTTGAGAATAGATAAAAGGATTTTCACATTTGGGTCATCTTTAAAGTAACGGTAATCTTACAAGACGTAATAGTGATAGCATCTGTACAAAAATGAGCCTTTTTAACCATTAAACCTATATATTGGCTTGGTCAATAAAATTGATCAGGCAATAGTACCACAACACACAAATAAGCTTGTGTGCACTCTTTTGACCGCATTTGACCAAAGTGAAAGTAGTACCTCTCCCAATAACAAAAGAACGATCATAAATAAATAAGCTCTGACTAATTTGAGATTTTAAGATATATATTATAATAAGCTATACATTTTCAATACATACTCGTAGCTGTGATTTTATTATAAACATGTATATATATATATGTGTGTGTGTGCCACCATTTCATCTCCGATCTCGTCATAACCTCAAGGTTCAAAGTGTTATGTCAAGGTCAGAATCATTCTTTAAGGTCGTGACCCTAAATTGTTCCTAATATATCAGCTGACATTTTAGAGCTATTTGACTTTAAATATTAAATTTATCATTGATCTTCAAATGCTATATTACATGTACAGGTAATAGATTTATGAAAGTCTTGTATACTGTCAGATGTACCTGTTGACTCTACGTAATACAAGTCATACTTCATCTTGTAATCTATAACTTATAAATATGTAGGTCCAAGTCATTATTGTTAATAGGTTGAAGATAAAAAGTGTGCATAATTCTATGAGTGATAGTGTTTTACTGGCTAGATGTGATACTAATTTGGTTTGTGAGGTGGTTAAATCAGCAAAAAAACAAATCCATGTAAAGCCTCACAAACCTGACTGATGTATTAGTCAGTGAACACAGTCTGAAATACATATTATGCTGGTGGCTATTATATTGTCTACAAGTTACTTCTTCATGTTCATTTATTGACATTGTTGCTATGATGTTTCCATGTTGCGATCATGACATCATTATCCGTATACTGGGATATATTCGCTGTAGGTTACGATTCCCTTCGCCATATTTTTTGCACTCCACAATGAGGTTAAATATATCATTACAGTGAATACTAGTACACAGCATACCATATATAGTAATAACATATGAAGAGTGAAATTAATATGGAATTTACCAGTGAAGGGTGATTATTTGACTGGGCTAAAGTCTTTTGGTAAACAGTACTGTTTATTGGAAAGGTATTGCCCTGTCAAGTATGCTCCCTTTGTCAGTAATATACATATACAGTAACATCCCGTTTCAACACTGTCCTGCTATGTATGGTAAGTTGTATACTTACACGGGCTTGATCAATTTACCGTAATGACAGAGGAGGAAGGAAGGGGGAAATTACCGTGGTGAACATTGTTATTTTGTAACGTGACAACAATCTACCCATTCATTGCTTCTAAAAATCAGGAATAATGTGAACGTTTTCCTGGTGAATGTATTACAGTAGAGGTAAATATGGCCTCTTTATACAGGTATGTCAGCACTTGATGTACCTGTCACTGCTTTCTATTTACATATGCGTACATACTAGAGGTACCGGTAGTCAATTATTTATACAGGGTTCAGGTAGAGGTTGATTTTGTAAATTTCATGTAGTTGTCATGACATAATGTATAAACGGATGGTGATCTGATTGAATTAAAATTAAAATTTTACTTACAATGATATGGTTAATTCCAGTGAATAGGTACTACCAGAGATGTCTGTTAGAATAGTGTGTGTGTGTGTGTGGTTCATTTGACTGGGACATGTTTTTGAAGAGGTTGTCCCCTTAATCAAGGTGTCAGATAAGACAAGTTTTGGTGTCTATTATTAGGAAGTCTTCCCAGTGACAGTATCCAAGGCCAGTATTGTGGGAGAAATTGCTCAAATCGTGGTACTGATAGATAACTGTTCAAAGGTTTCCAGTGTATCAAATGTACCAATGTATTGTTTATCTGATAGAGGGAAAGGGTTCATTTTCTTTTTATTGAAGTCATCTATTTGGTCTTGTATTGATCAGATTTTTTTTAGACATAAAGATACATCTGCATAAGTAAAGAGAATTGTTTACAAAAGCTTTCGATGGCTTATGGAAATAGCAAAATTGGTCTCCTTAGTTTTCAAATCATTTTTTTTTGCAAATCTTGAGATCTATACTCAATGTTCTAGCACTCCTGATAATTTCAAAGGTACAGAGTAGGACTTTTGACAGGAATAAGTTTAATTGTCAGCCAATATATCTCTCGTTATGTACAGTGGTCTATTTGGGATAAACCCACAAAATATGCCTTAGAAAGGGAGGGAACTATGTTTAGGAAACGAGAGGAGGCTGTGCTTTAGTGATGAGAGGGAGGATGGGATCACAAAAGTTGTATTTAAGATTTGTAGATGCAATGTCTTTACATGTCTTTTATTTCTAATGAACATGTATTATATAACTATATGACTCAATAATGACCTCGCAACTAGCAGTTTTGTGCATAATATACTACAGTATGTACACCTGTAAGGGAAAAGGTGGCAAATTATTGATATAAGATTTTAAGCCTTAGAAAAAACACCTGAATCCCTTAATACCAGGTATGTACATCAGGAAAGGAATTTAAACATTAAACATCTAAATTATATATTGCCAATAATTCACCCTTCATAGACAAAACCTAATTGAAATCAAAAGTGGCAAGCGTTTTAAAATCAAATTGGTTAATTTAGTGCCAGTATGTCGTTCATCAATGTAAATCTATTGAAGTCAAAGTGGTAGATGTGAGTACCCTGCATACCCATTATGGATTTAACCTATCAAAATCAAACACTCGTGACATCATTATTCTCTGATCAACTTCCCCACTGTCTAAAATGTAGTTTTGTGTAATGTTATTGTTTTGAGATGAATATCTGTTTCCCTGTTGCTGAGACTATATAATCCCATGCAATATTGAATTATATTATTTTAAGTACAGCAACTATAAATTGCTCAAAGCTACATGATGGTGGGTGTCTGTTTTACAGTTACAGTATTTTGTGCTAATAAGTAATATTTCATAGATTTTATAGATTTGCAATAATGATTTCCTTGTAAAGTGCATTTATTATTGTTTGTATATTTTGTTTAATTAGAGGTCCAATGTTGGTTGAATTTATGAGTTTTTTCCTTTATTTATACTTTGTTGTATATTGTATACACTGCCTATATATTATTATATCATTATTTTCCGATTGTTTTGTGCTGATGCAACCATATCAATATTGCTTCTATGACAAACTTTCGGAACTCAATTAATCATTAGTTCATCATAAATTGAATTGAATTATTCAATGATTCTTTTTTTATTGTTAGTACAGTTTGGTATACACTAAAAACATGTAAAGATTTGTTAAGTTAAGGGTGGTATTATACAAATGTATATGTTACCAATATTTAGTCAACATGGAAACATTTCTGTGAAAACTTTACTGCTATTGAAGCATCATTTATATACTAAGTTAAAACACTTACAAGAATTTATTGAATAATTTACAAATATTAATCTTTTTCTCGTCTACATATATGATGTTCTATAATTCAAATAAGGATTGAACAGCATTCCTTATATTTACATTCTAAATTATAGTTATTATTAAACTTAAATACAGGTATTCCCTTATATTTTCTATATTTTAGTGTTTATTATGTCAGTGCAAATAAGATTCTTGGAACAGCTTAACCACCAAAATGTTTGCTTCCAATGGTTGTGTCTTGTCATTCGAGACGGGAGGAGAAGCTTCAAAATAACACTGATCAAATTGCATTCATAGCTCCATGAACATTTTTTTCTGGTAATGTTTATAAAGGAACTTGCAGTGGAAATGTAAATATGATGTTCATGCGCATTACAAGAGAATGATATGAATACTGTCATGACTGATCTACCACCTTGATAAACACTTCCAGCTTCATGTCATTCAATGCAAGCATAACCAATTTTCCAAAATGTTCAGCCGTTGTTTTCTATACAATGAGGTGGTTGTATTGTCCCTTTTTCCTCGGTGATGTTTTCCATTTTCAGGAGATTATGTTGTTCATTTCTAAGAGTTAATTGAGAAGATCAATGATCAGCAATGGAAAAAAAATAAGAAGTGAAAAATATTGACTGAAATTGTCATCAGTAGTATCAAATTAATAAACCAGAATAGTAAAAGGTGATTACAATACAGGTGGCAAAATGTATTTCAGGAGGTGTTGACAAATGTTGAAAAGTGGTGGAATATGATTTTGTCTAAAATGTACCAAATATTGACTGGAATAGCATGAACATTGTATTTAGGTTCTACCAGGTATATAGGCTAGAGGTCCCAGACTCTTATACAGTATCTTATAACTAAGACATCTAGGCTGTATATTGAGAGCTTAAAAAAGAATAGTTTTAAATGACTTTTATTGACTCTGGAGGCGGGGGGG